CGTGCCCCTGGCGGGGTGAGAGTCGTGCCCCTGGCGGGGTGAGAGTCGTGCCCCTGGCCCCCTGGCGGGGTGAGAGTCGTGCCCCTGGCCGTCCGGTCGTGGGGGTGAGAGTCGTGCGGTCGTGGGGGTGAGAGTCGTGCCCCTGGTGGGGTGAGAGCCGTGCGGTCGTGGGGGTGAGAGCCGTTCCCCTGGCGGGGTGAGAGCCGTGCGGTCGGGGGTGAGAGCCGTGCCCCTCGCGGGGTGAGAGCCGTGCTGTCGGGGGGGTGAGAGTCGTGCCCCTGGCGGGGTGAGCTGTGCTGTCGGGGGGGTGAGAGTCGTGCGGTCGTGGGGGTGAGAGCCGTGCCCCTGGCGGGGTGAGAGCCGTGCCCCTGGCGGGGTGAGAGTCGTGCCCCTGGCAGGGTGAGCTGTGCGGTCGGGGGGGTGAGAGCCGTGCGCTCGGCGGGGGGGGGCGTGTGTTCAGGGTGAGAGCTGTGCTGTTTCCCGTGCTTGCAGGGGACGGCAGCAGCAGCAGCAGCGGGACCCGGTCCAGCTGGACGGCCAGGAGCTGCGGTTCTTCACGCCCGTGCGGCGTTCCCTGCGCATCGAGAGAGCCGCCCCCCGATACCCCGCCGCGCTGCAGGAGCGCGATCCCTGCGTGGCCTCCCTGCAGGAGCTGCTGGCGGAGGAAGAGGGGTCCGGGCCGCCCCTGTACGTCTACCGCGAGAACGAGGCCCTGAATGACCAGATCCACATCGAGCTCCTTGAGTCCTAACAGGTGATCGTGGCCGTCTCTCAGACCGCCTGCAGTACACGACGGGGGGGCCAGATGTCGACAGCCACTCAGTCTTGCATACTTAATATTATAGGCTTTGTTCCATGCTGAAATGAGAAGAATAAAAACAAAGTTTCAGCCATGGAGCCTTCTTCAAAGAATTTCATAAAATAAATACTGCTGCAAAGACAGGGTCTCATTACAAACAGATGCTAGAATATAAACCATCTACCACTACTGAAAACAATAATAAATAACATTTGTAAGGGAAATTGTCCATAAATGTGACGGCAGTTTCTTCTCTTAAATAAATAAAGCCTGCATATAATTTATGGACAGCAGCTACATCACCTTACAGCTCACAACTGGAAACCCACTGAAGCTCAGCAGGTGTGAGCTTGACCAGTACCTGGGAAAGCTGAGGCTGCTGCTGGAAGAGGTGTTAGTGGGGCCAGTAGGGGGTGCTCACCCCATGGTCTGTGTGGGTCCTAATACCCCAGTATAGTGATGGGGACACTATACTGTAAACAGGTGCCGTCCTTACGATGACGCATAAAACCGAGGTCCTGACTTTCTGTGGTCATTAAAAATCCCAGGGCGTTTCTCGAAAAAGAATAGGGGTGTTACCCTGGTGTCCTGGACAAATTTCCTCCTGGTCTTCTACCCATCATGGCCTCCTAACAATCCCGATCTCTGAACTGGCTTCATCACTCTGCTCTCCTCCCCACTGAGAGCTGGTGTGTGTGAGCAGACTGGTGCACTATGGCTGCCGTCGCATCATCCAGGTGGTGGTGGTGGAGGGGAGTCCCCATTACCCATGAAGCTCTTTGAGTGGAGGGTCCAGAAAAGAGCTAGGAAAGTTTCAGGAATTAAATAGAATGTGTCCCTTGTAGAGAAAACCGGTTCAGGGACGCCAAATAATGTAAGAAAAGTGGCTCTCTGAAGGCACCAGTTCTGTAGGGTTTGGGCATTTACTGAGACAATTATTAATTGTAGCAGTAAATCACAAAGT